CTGCGGTGGCCGGGAGCGGCCACTGCACTCCAGTCTGGGCGACAGAGTGAGACTCCAACTCAAAATAAATAAATAAATAAATAAATCTTCTTAGGATGGGGTGAAGGAACCTGGAGCAAGGACGACTCAGTCCCGCAGCAGGCTATTGGGTGTGACTCAGTTCTCCCTGGAAACCCGTGGTGTGGCCGGGGCTGGACCATCAGCCTGCCTCCCTCTCTCCCCTGTGTCCCTCCCGCCCTTACCTCCACCAGCTTCACCACATTGGGGTGGTCCAGCTTCTTGAGGATGGCGATTTCCTGGTACACCTGTTCAATAGGACCCCTGGGCTGGATGCAGCCCCCGGGGGCTGGCCGGGTGCCTCGGGGTGGGGGGCGACCTGGAGGAGACACAAACGGCCTTGGGGTCAGGGCAAAGACACTTGCCTCTGCGGAAGTCAGCTGCAAGTGGGAATGACCATAGGGAGAAGGTCTCCTCAGGGTTGGAGGGGCTGATGCCACCTGGAACTTTGACCAGTCTTCTCCTCCGCTCTCTCATCTGCTGCTGGAAATCAGCGAGGCCAGAGCCCTGAACCAATTTGTTCACGCTTGCTGTTAGCCTCCTCCTTCCTGTCACCTGCCCCAGTCCACAGCGAGAGGCAGGAGTACGCCGAGGTATCCGGGGTCCCACTAAGCAATCTCAATAACCCAGAGCATGTCAATCACTGCCCCTCTCCGGGACTCAGTTTCTCTACTCTGTAAAATGGATATAAAAAGTATCCCTCAGCTGGGCTCGGTGGCTCAGCCTGTAATCCCACGCCTTTGGGAGGCTGAGGTGAGTGGATTGCCTGAGCCCGCGGGCTCGAGACACACCTGGGCAGCGAGACCTCATCTCTACAATAAATCAAAAAATCAGCCGGGCATGGTAGTGCGCGCCTGTAGTTCCAGCTACTTGGAAGGCTGAGGTGGAAGGATCCCTGGAGCCCAGCAGGTCGAGGCTGCGGTGGCCGGAAGCGGCCACTGCACTCCGGTCTGGGTGACAGAGTGAGACTCCAACTCAAAAACAGACAAACAAACAAACAAATAAATATAACTTAAAAAAAAAAAACAAAAAAACAACAAAAAAAGTATCCCTCATCTCCTTAACTCATGGAAATAACACAGGTATAAAATTAAGGCAGGGAAAAGAAATGAAGTAGGCTGGGTATGGTGGCTCATGCCTGTAATCCCAGAACTCTGGGAGGCAGAGGTGAGAGTATTGCCTGAGCCCAGGGGTTCGAGACCAGCCTAGACAACATGGCAAGATCTCATCTCTACAATAAATCAAAAAATTAGCTGGGCGTGGTTGCACATAGTTCCAGCTACTTGGAAGGCTGAGGTGGAAGGATTGCCTGAGCCCAGCAGGTCAAGGCTACAGTGTGCCACTGCACTCCAGCTTGGGTGACAGCGTGAGACAGATTCAAAAAGAAAGAAAGAAAGAAAAAAATGAAGTAAACATCAGTGAAAGAAAAACAAAAAACTATGCCAGAAAAAAGAGGCACTCAGGTCACCGCTTGGCCCTGCAGTCGACAACAGTCAAAAAGTCACATGCATGTAAAGGCCCATAGTGAAAACACTCATGGTGCCACGTGTTCCATGCAAGTAAGGTTATAAGTGTGATTAACAGAATGAAATGTAGTTGTGATCAGCCTTGGAAAAGGAAAGGCCAAGGTGCAGGTGTTAGAAGTGGGATGTGACATGTAGGGAAGGTGAGCTCACAGGGAAGCGGGAGGCGCCAACAGCCTCATCTTACAAAGTGGAGAGGTGGGAGACACTAGTTACACCAGCCAGAACAAGGACGAAGTGGCAAGTATGTAACAAGAGAGGAGCTAAACACCATGAAATCATGGTATCACTTGGTTGGAGAAAGGGAGGTATTATGGTCTGAATGTATGTGCCCCCTCAAAATTCCTATGTGAAAACCTAATTCCCAATATGATAGTATAAGGAGATGAAACTTTGGGGAGTGATTAAGTTGTGAGGACCGAACCCTCAGGAATGAGATCAGTGCTGTTATAAAAGAGACCCCAGAGAGCTGCTTCCCCTCTCGGCCATGTGAGAAGGTGCCATCTATGACCTGTGAGACCTCAGACCTGTGAGAAATACATGTCCACTGGCTAAGCCACCCAGTCTGTGGTAGCTGTTACAGCATAGCACTTGTTATTTTGTTAAGACAGGAGGTAAGGAGAGGTTCAAGCAAGCGAAATCCTCATCTGTCGTTGGAGGCAGTCAAAAGCAGATGTCCAAAATGGACAAATCAATAAACAGCAACACGAGGACTATTATCTGGTTAAGAGTTTGGATAAACAGGATAAACCCGGGTCCTGGTGTTAGGATGGGGTTTGCTTTTCTCTTATTGGTTCAACTTTTGGCCCAAGCTGACATCTTGCCCAGCAAGCTGGCAGGGAGCTTGTGTTGAAGCAGCCGCCAATACGCTCACCTGCTGGTCTATCATCTGACCACACGCAGTGACTATCAGCACCTGAAAGAGCTAAATGTGAGGACGACCTGCAGGGAGAAGGAAGAGGAGAGGGTGTTCTCCATTATAAGTCCTCCTGTTCTTTGTTTTGTTTTGGTAGACAAAATTCAAATACATCATGGTATTGACATTTTCAAAATTCACCATTTTAAGTTGGAGACGATCATACTCAGTATCTATCACAGAAACAAAGAACTGGCTGGGCATGGTGGCTCATGCCTGTCATCCCAGCACTTTGGGAGGCGGAGGTGAGAGGAATGCTTGAGCCCAAGGGTTCAAGACCAGCCTGGGCAACTTGGCAAGACCTTGTCTCTACAATCAATCAAAAAATTAGTCGGGCATCATGGCACACGCCTGTAGTTCCAGCTACTTGGAAGGCTGAGGCGGAAGGATTGCCTGAGCCCAGGAGGTCGAGGTTGCGGTGGCCATGAGCATGCCACTGCAGTCACAGCACACTGTCAGAAGAGGGAAGAATGGGAAGGAGGAGTGACATAACACTACTAAAGGTGCCTGATCCTAAACCACAGGAAGTGAGGACCAGTGGGAGGCCCAAACTTCATCTGCACATAGATTACTTATGTACCTAATCCTGACTTGCACCCCACATCTCTATAATAAAAATAAAGTTGAAAAAAATTTATTTATTTATTTATTTTTTTGAGTTGGAGTCTCACTCTGTCGCCCAAACTGGAGTGC